TAGAATAGAATAGAATAGAATAGAATAGAATAGAATAGAATAGAATAGAACAGTAATAAAAAAGAACCGAACAAAATAGAATAGAATATGGGAATAGAACAGAATAGAATAGAATAGGAGCTGGAAGGAACCTTGGAGGTCTTCTAGTCCAGCCCACTGCTCAAACAGGAGAACCTATTCCATTTCAGGCAATTTGTATGCACAAATGAACTGCTCACTGTGGAGAATTTCACCCTTTCTTCTCATTTTTCCCCCTTTTCTTTCAAATTGAATGGGAAATTTACAAAGGGAGGGGGCACGGGGCAGATGAAATTTTTCAGCACGCCACTAATTTTCGTTATCTAGGGAAATATTTCAGTGTTTCCAAAAGCTGGCATGACGCCAATACTGAAATCAGGAAACATGAATTTAATTGGTGCAATGCTTTAAGTAACCTCAATCCCATCTCAAAGGGGGGGAAAATGCTTGCAACACTAGTTTTTTTTTTTTCTGAGTTAGCATGATCATAATTTTATCTGGATGAAAAATGTCTCCTCTGTGCTTAAAAAGAAATAAACAGACTGCTTTTCTTCAGATTATTCATAGTACAGACTCTTTTGATCCCTGCAGACTTGACTTCCCCAAATATTCATTGAGGTTGTTGTGTGTATTGCTGGGAAAATACAAATCTAGCAGGACAACTGGCATCGCAAAAATGTATCTACAGTGCGGTTAAGTTGTTCTACTAAATGGTCCTCTAAAACAAGAGTTTCTAAGTTCACGTCGATTTAATAAAATGCAAACATTGTGTAGCAAACTTTTTTTAAAAACTGTACTACTGTGAAGGTTTCCTGTTTGGAACTTTATGAATGTAAATGTTCACTCAAAGCACATTCTCACATGAAAGAAAACAAATCTGAAACTTATTGTCTTTTATCAATAGACTACGGAGTGTGGATTCTAATCACACATAGGCATGAAAGATGGCTGGGTGACCTTAAGCCAATCACCTGTGAGTTCTAGTCTAGACTGTGAGTTCTAGTCCTGCCTTAGGCATGCAAGCCAAGTGGATGACTTTCAGCCAATGGTCTGGAGACTGTGAGTTCTAGTCCTGCCTTAGGCATGAAAGCTGGCTGGGTGACTTTAGGCCAATCACCAGGAGACTGTGAGTTCTAGTCCTGCCTTAGGCATGAAAGCTGGCTGGATGACTTTGGGCCAGTCCCTTTCTCTCAGACTAAACCACCTCACAGGACTTTTGTGGAGAAAATAGGAGGAGGAGGAAGGAATATTAGATATGTTTGCCACCTTATGAAGTATTAAAGGCAGGATAAAGATCAAATAAACAAGCCGACAATGCTATAATTCACAACAGGTTTCTATTTGGTATAAATTAATTTTGGGTAATGCTAGCAGGCAGAGAAATGGGATGAGCAGTTTGTCTGAGTTTTTCTAAAGGAAACTTGGTGGGCATGAAGGGAATTTTAATAATATCGCTGCAAGGTAATCTTCTCCCCTACAAGAAGCTCCACACCACCCCGACATCTTTGTCCTTTCTTTAGACAAGGCACTGCTGTACAGATGTTTTCCTTTTTCTTCTTTTTAAAGAAAATCTGGGTTCTGTTGACATTTTTGGGAAATCAGCCTGAAATGGGAGGCGAACGCTCTGCATGCAGTGTATCAACTTCCTGTCTGTTGCAACCAAAATTTGTTTTGTTTTTTTTTCAAATTTCAAACAAAAAAAAAAAAAGTCAAATGGAACAGGAAGCCTGGCGAACCTCCAAAAGGACATTAGAAGACTCAAGATGACTCTCTGGCACTGTGTTGAGGACTACCGATGAAAACAAACACCTTTGATTCGAAGGCGTTTTAATAACTTAGAAGGCCCCAAGTTGATTTACCAATCTTTTCCAAACTTTATTCAGTAACTTGCATACAATTCAAATGCATCAAAATTCATCGTTTCATCCCCTAAGCTGTGCCCAGTTTATAGTATTTTATGTTTTGGCTTAGCTTGCAAGGCAACTGTCGTATCTAGCATACTATTACTAATAACCGCCTATTACAGAGATGTCACTACAACGTAGCAAAGCCAGTTCTTCCTTCAGAGGCATACAATATTCTGATTATTTCACCACTTCAGGGTACCATAGAGCAAAACGGTCTGCTCTATTTGCTGTAGGCTGCCTTGTCTTCGAGCAACTTCACTGTAGTAGTCTTAGACATGGGCGTCACAGCCAGTCCTTTTGTGGGCCTACTTGAAACAGGTTGCTCTCTTTGGCCTGAAAACAAAGAAGTTGCATTATCATCATCATCACAAAGAAAAATTCATGCCAGTGAGCCAATAGGGTTCAATTGTTATGGTGGTGGCACAAGGAAACAGATGTCTAGATTTGATTTGCAATTTTTGTCAGCCTCCAAGGCCTTTCCAAACCCTTAAGTGCTTACTGAGTGTCATTGTAATCTTGATTTGTAAGACACCAACTTCTATATTGACTTTGGGCATTATAACTAAAAATCTATTTTTATAGATTTTTTATCTATCTATCATTATCTATCTATCTATCTATCTATCTATCTATCTATCTATCTATCTAT